ATTACTATTCAAAAGCAGATAAAAAAAACCAAAAGCTAGATATCCTGAAGCATTGGTCACTACTTCTCCAAATTTCTGCAGACACAGGACTCTTGCACTGTTCAGTGTGCTCCTATGAGTGATCACATTTGTTTGGTTTTGATGAGCTCTTCAATGCAGTAGACAAAAGTCGCAGAAGGCTGTCGAATGAATGTGGCTATAGGGTGAGAATGAACACAGGGTTACCTACACGCCCTTTCTTGGCACTCTCTAATAATACACCAAACACTCTTCAAGAAGCCCTTATGTCAATGGAGTGGTTACAATGTGACCACCTCCTACTGCTGGTATTATCTCTCCCTCCCTGCCTTCCTCCCCAGTAGGTGACATCTCTCTCATGCTAATGTAATGTTCATTCTGACTGTAGTTCCTGGACCACAGTAACATGGTTGGTGAGGGAGATGCTGGCAACAATAGGTAATTATGATCTAAATGAATCAGAATTTCTGGGAAAAGTGGCCCTGACATCTCTCTCTCTCTCTCTCTCTCTCTCTCTCTCTCTCTCTCCTCTCTCTCTCTCTCTCTCTCTCTCTCTCTCTCTCTCTCTCTCTCTCTCTCTCTCTCTCTCTCTCTCTCTCTCTCTCTCTCTCTCTCTCTCTCTCTCTCTCTCTCTCTCTCTCTCTCTCTCTCTCTCTCTCTCTCTCTCTCTCTCTCTCTCTCTCTCTCTCTCTCTCTCTCTCTCTCTCTCTCTCTCTCTCTCTCTCTCTCTCTCTCTCTCTCTCTCTCTCTCTCTCTCTCTCTCTCTCTCTCTCTCTCTCTCTCTCTCTCTCTCTCTCTCTCTCTCTCTCCTCTCTCTCCTCTCTCTCCTCTGTCTCTCTCTCTCTCCTCTCCCCTCTCTCTCTCTTTCCTCTCTGTCTCCTCTCTCTCTCTCTCCTCTCTCTTTTAATTCAATAGCTGAGGATATGTTTATTCACATTAAAACTTTAGACACTTCATCAAGTAAGATTCCTCTAAGACAGTAACCAGATAACTCTCTAAAACTACCTACCATTCACTCATCTGATATTCTTTTAGGACATACTCATGGTTTCCATGATTGAGAGGCATCGTTCCTCTTCTTCACCCTTCAATCTACATCCCAAATACTGATTTTTTTCCATCTTTGCAGTTGACATATCTTTATCCTATGGAATACAGTGTTTTTTCCTGACTACTATCTAATTTGAGATGCAACTGTATTCCTTCATTTCCACAAGGGCAGCTAACTCTGATTTCTCACTCAATAGTATCCAAGGATAAATATATCTTTCCTACAAATACTGCCTATTTCAAATACATCTATTTCTCTTTTCATTTACCCATCATTACTTCTTAAGCTCTGACCATGAACTAGAAGAAACAATGGAGAACAAAAACACAGACTTGTGAGAGCTTTCTGGACTTATGGTATACTAGTGGCAAGGGCTGTGGCCGAAAGGTATGGATGTGAGGGTGATCTGGCTGCGACATCTGTCACCCCATTGATCGCCACGTCAGGGTTGATCTGGCTGTCTAGGCGGGTGTCCCCTTCCTCTGTCACTGCTGCATGTGTGTCCCTCCCGAAGCTGCGCGCTTGGTCGAAGAGGACGACCTTCCTGAATAGAGGAGGACCGGTCTTTGGTCAAGGGTATGTGAGTAGCCGTGTTTCCCTGCTAAAACCTCCAAACAAGCTCTCAAGGTCCAGAAAGGTATAAGTATTAAAAAATTGGCTAATAAAAGGTTATGGCACCTACTACAAGGTCAGCATAAAGAATCAATTAGAGGTTAGTGTTTTCTTTTTAAGCAAAAATATTGCAGAAGTGATGGTATATTCCTGGTGCATTGCATCAGGAAACATAGCATCAGTTTCTCTGATGATTGGAGAAGTGAACTTTGATGACTTAAACTATGTCAGTTTTTCCTCTATAAAGAGACCATTTTTTGCAATGCAATTAAAAATTATTTTTAAGCAGTTATTTTAACACTATATTCTGTTACCAACTTTAGCAACTAAAGATGGTTTTTGTCTGAAACAATCATTGCAATGCTTTAAAAGGGTGACTTTCTGTTAACATCATTCCTTATTAGGTTAACAGGATTTCTTGGACGTAGGCTGTTTCATTTCTAGATAAAGTTTTAAAAAGTTAAACTGCCTAATGAATTTACCCCTGATGAGAGAAATAATGAGGAAGAACACAGCACCTCTCAAAGGCCAAGCACTCTACCACCAAGTCTTTGCCTCAGGCACCATCTATTGTTTCAATAGTAGCTAGACTCTCACTTCTTAAGGCTTACTTCACAGAAGACAGCATCACTGAGTTTGTGGAATCTTTATGAAGCGCAGCCTGGAGACAAGAAATGAGGTGTGTAGGTAGAACTCTCCCTTGATGGCAATATTGGATGTTCAGACATGAGTCGCTATCTGTCAGTCTGTCTCTATTCTCTTTCACACCTTCCTCCCCTTCTCCCACCCCCTTTCTTTTCCTGGTCTCTGAGAACTGAGCAGCTATTCTCCACCATTTGTTTCCTGTCTTAAGGCTGTGTCTTGTTGTAGAGTCCAGGTTAATAGAGCCTGCTGATCGTGGACGGAAACAACCTCTGGAACCACGAGTCAATATAAATCTTTCCTCTTGTCTGTCTCAGGTATTTCACCAGGAAAGAAAGCTGACTATGATAGAACTTCAAACTCACTGGTCATAAGATACTTAAAAATGTGTCTACCTAATTTTTTCATTCTGACACCTTTATGCTTTATGGTTAGACATGTTTGCATAAATAGCTCTTCGTCATGTCTAATTTATTGTAACATATGGAATAAAATGAGGATTATATTTTTTCCTAAGAAAAACATCCTTTTCTTTGTCTTAAATGATAACTTGGGGAAATGACCCATGAGTCTTCAGAGATATGTTTTGCTTCTTGTTTAATTCTCAGTTTGGGCTAACAGAGGGGTCTGTCCAAATCAGACATTTGGTTTGGTTCATATTTACAAATTTGAAATTATCAGGCTATGATGGACAGAGTCGTAGAGAACACAAGATGTGGTGGTCCAGACAGGGAGCAACTATATCATTGTGGAAGGAAGTATCCCAGGTCTGAACTAGAGACAATAAATGGAATAGGAAACATGGCTATTGGGGAACATTCTGAAGAATACTCATGGAAGTTGGAATCAACCCAGATATAGTGGTATGCAGAAACACCAATAAAGGTGCTGAAAGTGCCAGCAGAGGCAGGGATTGAAAATGTGCTCCTTACCCATGTCTGACCATTCACATAGTACAAAGCAAACCATAGAAATAGATACCCTGCATTTGTTCCTCCCTCAACTCCAGACCCCAGCTACCAACCACACCTGCAGATCTGATTTGCTTCCAGAATGTCTCTCAAGACTGGATCTTCTATCTTATCAGGAGGCTCCTTAATATCTGCCACTTTCACTGTCCACATGGCTAGAAGTGCTATCATACTATGTTTATCTGACACTACCTTGTTTCTCTTCAATTGTCTCTACATGTGACATCTGCCTCTTTAATATCGTGGACATTGTCATTTCCACTGTTAATATCATAGGACAGTCTCTTCTTACATTTAAGTACATGTTTTAAGACCCCTCGACAGATGTCTGAAATTACAAATAGCACCAAATTTGTCATATATGCTCTTGTTTGTCTTTAGCATATGTACCTAAGACAGCTTAACTTATAATTTAGACATATAAAAGAGTTATAGCAAGTAATGACAAAAAGACTAATTATAACAATATATAAAAGATTTAATGAGGAAACAAAGTTGCTTGGGTAGGGAAAGGAGAGTACACCTGGGAGGAGTTGGAGGAAGATTGGAAATGACCAAAATACATTGTATGATATTCTCAAAGATCTAATAACAAAATTAAAGGGTGATTCAACTACCTGTGACCAAGAAGGTAAAAAAGTGAAACCAAAGAACTTAAGGAGATGAATAAAAAGGGACAACTGAATACCTACAGTAATACGACAAAGGTCATTCTGACCCCGTAACCTCTTCACTAGCTGTCATTCACACCCTTATTACACGTGGCATTGTCTTCAGTTACTGAGATGCATCATGCAAAGTCAATGCAATATCCCCCACCAGCAGTCTACACTTCTCCTTGATACTCATCCTCTCAGTGATGCCTTAAACATCTCTTCTTTGAGCATTTGAAAGAAAATGGTCACAAATTGCACTAATGGGAGGTGTGGCCTTGTTGAAGTAGGTGTGGTCTTGTTGGAGGAAGTGTGTCACTTTGGAGGTGGGTTTTGAGGTCTCACATACTCTCAAGCCATGGATCAGCCTACTTTCTGCTCTCTTCTGATCAAGATGTAGCCAGCAACACCTCTGCCTGCATTCCACCATGAGGATAATGGACCAAATCTCTGAAACTGTAATCTGTCACCTCCATTAAATGTTTTCCTTTATGAGTTGCTGTGGTCATGGTGTCTCTTCACGGCAATAGAAACACTAAGACATCAGCGACTAATTTATACTCTTGATTATATAGATCTGAATAAGCATCAAATAGGCCAGAATCAAGGGATTTTCTACAAACACAACAAACAAACAACAACAACAACAGCAACAAAAGTGCTCTTAAAAGGCATAAATATCATGAAAGCCGGAAAGACTGAGGAAAGATTCAAGATTAAAGACACTGAGTCAATAAGACAACTAAGTGTAGTGTATGATCTTGGACTGGCTTCTCCATTAGCCTTAGGACTTTGGTAAAATCTGAAGTACAGCAGTAGTCTCACTTCTGTGAATGTTGATATTTATAGAATCAGGGTAAGCAACATAAAGAAATGTTGGATACTACTTCCACAGTCATTTGGACACCTGCAATTATTTTCGGGTTAAATATCTTAAATATTTGTACGAAGGCTGAAGATTTCACATGATGTTCATATTCAGCCCTCAAAGTCCTCCCAGAGCCGCCACCCCCACTCTCACTACCCAGCCACCTACTTACATCACAAACACACCTTTTACTGAGTCCAGTTAGTGTGGCTTTCTTACCACTCCTGGGGATGGGGCCTGCCCTGGAGTAGGGGCCTGCCCTGGAGTATGGCTGACCTACTAGGGGTCACATCATCAAAGACAGCTGACTCTTTCTCTCCCAGCAGTTGTCACACGCCAATAGCTGTTTGGTTAGTGCTGAGACACCATGCCCACCAGTGCCCCTCCGTGCTGGAACTTTCGTCTGGCTTCACATTGTGCTGAAACGAGGTATTTTTAAAGTGTTTAAATAGTGTCCAAATGATTGTGGAAATACTATTTGCATAACCTGCAGCCCCTATAATATCCACTATCACTACATCAGATGAAAATGTGAAGATCAATAGTAAAGACATTTTAATAAAAATGACCAAATGACATGAGCAAGTTTGTAGGCAAACAGAAACAGCTACCTATGAGGTGAAAAAAAAAGTGTTTAAGCTCACAAGTAATTTTTTAAAAATACTGGTTTTCAGCAGAGGGCTAGAGGTCAGTAGTTCAGTGTTTATCCAGAATGCTACAGGTACAGATGTTATGTCATTGGCATCACAAAAACAAACCAAAACAAAACCTTGAATTTAAACTAGGTCACTGCATTTACTGGACTGATAAAATTCACATAAGGGATCAGACCCAATAGTGATGATTGTAGAGAACATATGTTCCTGTGGACCAAGAAAGCCTAATTTGAAATTTTTTCTTTAGATTTCTTGACTAAACACACACACACACACACACACACACACACACACACAAACCCTGCAACATGCTATGAAAGTATTAAAATCTTGAAATAAAAAGATATTCACTAATCCCACATCTGACAGAGGGCTGATCTCCAAAATTTACAAAGAACTCAAGAAGCAAGTCTCCAAAACACCAAAAGATCCAATTAAAAAGTGGGCTACAGATCTACATAGAGAATTCTCAATAGAGGAGTCTAAAATAGCTGAGAGGCTCTTGAGAATGTGCTCCCTAGCCATCAGGGAAATGCAAATCAAAACAACTCTGAGATACTGTCTTACTCCTGTCAGAATGGCTAAAATAAAAAACACCAATGACAGTTTATGCTGGAGAGGTTGTGGAGAAAGGGGAACACTCCTCCACTGCTGGTGGGAGTGCCAACTCGTACAGCCACTTTGGAAATCAGTATGGAGATTCCTCAGAAAAATGGGAATTAGCCTACCACAAGACCCAGCAATTCCACTCTTAGGCATATTTCCAAAAGATGCACATTCATACAACAAAGGCATCTTTTCCACTATCTTCATAGCAGCATTATTTGTAATAGCCAGAACTTGGAAGCAATCTAGATGCCCCTCAACTGAAGAGTGGATAGAGAAACTATGGTGTATTTACACAATGAAGTACTATTAAGCAGAAAAAAAAACAGTGGGACATGAAATTTGCAGGCAAATAGATGGCATTAGAAGAAACCATCCTGAGTGAGCTAACCCAGTAACAAAAAGACAAACATGGTATGTACTCTCTCATATTGGATTTTAGACGTAGATCTGGGGAGTGCCAGCCTACAATCCTACAGCCAGAGAGTCTGGGAAACAGAACCTTCATCCAATGACTGATGGAAGCAGAGACAGACTCCCACAGCTAAACACTAAGCTGAAGTAACAGAATCCATTGACAGAGATGGAGGACTGATGAGCAAAGGGGTTAAGACTGAGCTGGTTTAACCCCCAGAAACAGCTGACCTGACAAGAGGTAGCTCTAGACTGATGGCTGGGAATCCAGCATGGGACTGATCAAGACTCCCTGAATGTGGGTGTCAGTGAGGAGGCCTAGGGAATCTATGGGGCCTTGGGCAGTAGATCAGTATTTATCCTGGGTATACAAATGGACTTTGGGCACCCATCCAACAATGTGAGATGCACTGTCACCCTGGACTCTTGCAGAGGGTCTAGGCCCTGCCCTGGATGAAATGACAGACTATGGACACCCCTATGGAGGGCCTCACCCTCCCTGGGAAAAGGAGAGGGTATTGGGTGTGTGGTTGGTAGGAGGGTGTGGGAGGAGGGGAGGGAAAGTCAAAGGGACCTGTGATTGACATGTGAAGCAACCTTGTTTCTTTTTTTTGCAACCTTGTTTCTAATTTAAATTTAAAAATAAAAATTCAAAAAGGAAAAAAATTGAAATAAATATAGCCATCAAATGGGAATAATTTAAAAGAATATGACAGATGAAGCTGTTAAAGAAGATTTAAATGCTTGCACACTGGACCATGAGACTGTTCAAGTTAGAGTATCAGGGAAAATAGCAAGGGTTGAAAAGCACTCAAGGTAAGACATCATACTTGGAATGTGGATGCATAAGTATTTAACTTGTATGGACATTGTAAATTAAAACATCTGGTACACAGCTGAATTTTCCTTAAATGTTCACAGGAGACTTTCAATTTACTTACTGTGTCATTTGCTACATGTGTACAACACTTTATAACTGACAAATCACATCTTTCCTAAGCCTGTAAGCTTTGAGTGCTTGAGACTTGACTTGGCGGGTCAGTTTCTCTGTGTCAGAACAGATGATTAAGTAGGATGATGCCACTGTTACACATCATGACATCCAATTGCCAGAAAAAGAAACTTTCTGGCTGTAGACCATTTTGGAGCACAGAGATGGAGAACCTTACTGCAAAATCTTCCGAGACGACCCTAGCAAATTCAGAGCCCCAAGTCCTTATGCATGTTCCCATCTGCCTTTATGGTGACAAACTTGTATTTTGATCAACTGATTCCTGTTTCTAGGTGGTATACTACGTGGCTCAAGCTGAGGGATATATTTATTTGTATTACTTTTAGTCCATCCAGCATTCCAAATTGTACAGTTGTGTGTACCAGAAAAGGTTTAAGCACCTTGGCTAGCTCTCGAAGGCCTTCTTGTTCTGGACCCCTCCTCTCCAATGCATTATTAGACTATTTTGCACTGCTTACCATTTCTTCCGTAGCCTTCCTTTGATTGAATCTATCTCCAAACACCGGTCACTCGGAAGGACGTTCGACAGTATCTCTACAAAAGCTTGCTAACGCTGAGGGCTTCTAGACACAACATAGGGGCATGATAGGTACCATCCCATTCCATTCTAAGAATTCCAAGGCAACCCTGAGGGCTGTATTTTGGTGTGTGATTATGCGCAAATGTATATTTAAGGCAGATGGAATACATGCTCAAAAATAGAAACAGAACTAAGCATCTGAATATGAAATTAGACTTCACTGTAATGTTTCTCTAAATATGTCTTACTAACCACTTGCATCCACATTTCTTTCAAAGACTTTTAAACAGAGGCTACCAGACTCAACCCCAACCTCTGGAAGAGAAACTATATAGGTAGGATGGAAGACAGTTTTTGAACTAACTCGAGGATTACTTTTATAAGTCATTTCATAATTGGCAATACCATCCTCAATGAAAGAAAATTCACTATGTATGTCCTTAGAACATGACAGTTCTATTTCTCTCAACATTTTGGTATTTTACTAATTAGTAAATCCATCTGATTCCAAGTTAATTTTAATTTTATTTAGGTACTTGAGTTTTGCATCGATTCAGTGAGCAGTTTCCCTGTACCATAGAAACACTCACACATGCAGGTCCCTTTCCAGGCCTTTCCAATCCCATTCCGTCTCCTGGCTCCACTCTTACTGTTACAGAAAAAATGTGGGACAGTTTAGAAACAAACCTTTTGAGGACAAAACAGATAGAGTCATTCCATCATTAGACCGAAGCATGGACCCATTGTCATGGAAGAGTCTTTTAGGTTTCATTTTAGCCACAGAAATACACAGCATCGATGTTAAGGGATACAGCTTTAGAAGTAAGACACAAAAAGTATCTTGTTGAGAAAAAATGAAATCATGGGGTCATTAGATAAGAGCAATTCAACCATAATCCCGTTACTAAATGTGGTTTTCCTTTTAATTTTAATTAGAGGTGCATGGATGATTACTGTTCAGCTATTTGAGCTTGAAAAAGTGTTCTAAAAGGGACCTGAACCAGGGCTTCTTTTTGAGGATAAGCAAATGCAGAGCAAGAAGTCAGCACACAGGGAGCCAGAAAGAGTTAAAATGAGTCATCCTGACCTCCTGTTTCCAAATTAACTCAATGAATCACCAAGTCAACTCACCAGTTGATGACCTGTGATGGTTCACTTAAAGTTACCTCTCATAGGAACCTTTGCCAAATCTCCGGATAAACTGAGATGTCATTAAAGCATTAATTAAGGCAAGTGTTTATAAACCCAAACTCCAAGTTCACCAAATCTCAAATCCTGTCATCTGTAGTCAAGCTAAAACTCAAGAAATTGAAGAGTTCCTTTAGGAAGAGATGAAACTTTGGTTAAATAAAGAAATATCAAAATAAAATGATGTACGTGTTATTTAAAATACCTTCAAGAATATAATTCATGGTTTACAGAAAAGCTTTATCCAAGACCAGGAAAAACTCTCACATGCTGAGTGAGATACAACATTGGGACTGGAAGTGTATAGCTCAGTGGTCAAGTCTGCTTAATATGTGTGTCTGTGAGTTAAATGCCAGCACTAAAACAAACAAACAAACAAACAAACAAACCCTGAAAATTAGGTCATAATTATAGCCTTCTCAAAGTTACTTACAAGAAAAATCTCAGAAGGCTTTAATGTTGTGAACATCCATAAATCAGTGATGTCAGACTAGATTCACCTAGAAAAAACCTGAAAGAACTGACTATTTCTACTCTTCACCATTACCTACACCAGTGATTAAAATCTGGTCTCCAAGAACTGGATGCAGTTAGTTAAGTAAGTCAAAGAACAGCTACAATTTACTCTCCTGAGCCCTCTGCACAAGCTAAATAAAAAACAGAAATACAATCATTACTGCATCTTGCTTGGAGATTGGAAGCTATATGAGATTCTGGATCATGGGGAAAGATTGATGGCACAGAGATCCTCAGAATACTGACAGCCAATACTGGATTCAGAACCTGTTACACTTTTTAAGAAGGTGAATCCTCCCTATCAGATACAGTCACTGAGTATAAAGGTAGATGTATGTGCTGTGTATGTCAGCTACATTGGCAGAAAAGTAAAAAAGAACTCACTTTCTGGCAAATGTAAAAACACAAATTAGAACCAGTCAGAGGGCTCATTTGGTAAAAGTACTTGCCATTGCATCTACCGACTTGATTTTGATTCCCAAGACCTGCAAGGGGAGAACCAACTCCTGAAAGCTATTTTCTAATCTCCACATATGGATCCCAAGTCAGCATGTGTACAAACATGCATAAAACAACATAAATGTATATATGTATGTATATATATATATACATACATGTAAATTAGTATATTTCTTAATGAGCTTACCTAAAAACATTTAGAAAATACTAAAACATCAAGGAAAATTAGTCCTTTAAAAGGTACAATAACCTGGGTGCCAATTCTAAGTTGTGAATGATGAATATGTGTTTGATTTGGGAGCTGTGGAGCTTCATGAGGACAAAATCATACATATCATATGTGTCAGTATCTCTAGCAGGCAACATGAAGCATAGGAAACAGGGAAATACAGCAGAAAATATGGTTTTGACTCCCAGCTATATCACCTACTTATGACTTAATATACACAGCCTCTTTGAACTTCAATTTTTAAATATGCAAAGAAGTGTGTACTACAAATAGGAGTTTGGATGAATATGAAAAATATCAAAAGCACACATAGCTCTTCATTTGTATCTGACCCTATTTATTTACACACTTACTAATTCATATCTTCCAATTCAACTGTTATAACATAGAAAGATGAGGAAACAAAACCTCAAAGAGGTAAGCAACTTGCCCAATGACACGGCTAGAAAGTTGTTGCAGGATATTTGTTTACACTATGTGAAGGTGTGTCATTGTGGTTGGTTTAATAAAAGGCTGAATGACCAATAGCTAAGCAGGAGAGAATAGATGGGACTTCTTGGAGGAGAGAGGAATTCTGGGAAGAAGAACAGCAGAAAGATGGCAGTGAGACAGACACAGAACAAGTTGAATGTACAGAATGGGAGAGGTAAAAGTCACATGGCAGAACATTGATTAACACAAACAGGTTAGTTTGAGTTAAAAGAGCTAGATGGGAACAAGCCTAAGCTAAAGGCCAAAAACTTTCATAATTAATAATAAGCCTCATTATTTAGGAGCTGGCAGCAAGGGAGACCAGCTACAATAGGTAGCAAAATAACTATCCCATAACTTAGTATTTCTCAAGTTTTCTGCTCCTAGAACTCTGTAGAAAAGAATGCTGGGATCAACTGGTTGTGTCTGAACGAGATCGTAACATGCTGGTGATTATTTTTATACCTCTTTTCATAGAAGGTATCCTGATATCTGAAGTTGCCTTTCTTTCTTTTCTTCAAGACAGGGTTTCTCTGTGTAGCCCTGTAGGTTTTAGAGCTTGCTTTGTAGATTAGAATGGCCTTGTACTCACAGAGATCTGTCTGCCTCTGCCTCGGTAATGCTGGGATTAAAGGTGTGTGCCACCATGCCTGGACACTGAGACAGTCTTTATCTTGGTGTTCCAAGTGTAGGGCACATGAGCCAGTGAAAGATGGCATGGAGGGGAAGTCAGATGGGCGAGTGCTGAGTTGTTTACAAAAAAAGATGATTGGTTGCCTAGATCGAATCAGATGAGGTCTTACATTCACTAGGCAAAATGTAAGGCGCCTAGGCTCATGATAGGCTGACCTTTAAAGCCACTGGCTGGCTGTTTCCCTGCCCTGGGTTTTTTTTTTTCCTTTAAAAGATGCTTGCTGTGTGGTAATAAATGAGTTCTTGCTTGACTTGACTCCCTGCTACGTCTGACTGTCTGCAGGATACAGGGAGGCTGGGAAAATGGGCAAGCGGCCCCACTTACTCTTCCTCGAACCCAGGGCAACCTTCCGTGGTTAGGCTAAGACTCTGCACCAAGAATCTTTGGTCTGGACCCCATTTCCTCTTCTTACTTTTTCTAACCCACTCCTATTCAGTTGCCAGAATGTTCTTATGAAAATATGACTTCCCAAGCATGGTGGCACATGCCTTTTATCTCAGCATTCAGGAGGCAGAGGCGGGAAGATCTGCCAGTGTGATCTACAGAGTGAGCTCCAGGACAGTCAGCGCTACACAGAGAAGCCCTGTTCTCCCACCAAAAAAAGAAGAGAAAAAGAAAGGTTGCATTATTTTTAAATGGCATAATATTAATATCTAGGTCAATTCTGGTAGCTTTTTAAGTTTCATCCCGGAATTAGATCCTGAATGGCATGAAGAATTGCTAATGACTGGAGATGGAAAGTCAGAACTCCAAGAAGAAGAAGATAAGCTTCTACCATTCCTAACAAGTTCCTCAGAAAAATCAGAGACCTTGCAGGTGTTTGAAGACACTGGTTTCATAAATAAGGGTTACAGAGGAACCATCCATATGACTTAATGTCTCTATGCCAAGTGCTTCAATAGACAAAAATAACATGAACTTAATTTAAAATTTAGAAAGGGAATCAAACAGTCTGTGGTTTTGAAGACTAAGCAGCTTGCCAAATGTTAAACTGGCCTCTCTACTTGACTAAAGAGGTAGATGTTCCAAGATTATTCCTGCCAGCCTGGTCCCAGAGCTGCATCAACCCCAAATAACAGAGACTCTATTTGTTACAATGCTCTTGGCCAATGTCTAGGGCTTCTCATTGACTAGTTCTGTCTTAAGTATTACCTATGACTAGTAACTATATATGTTTCTATAATGACTTATCTTTCCAAGGACGCCATCCTGATACATCCTCTCTTCCCAGGATCACATGGCGACTCTCTACTCTTGACTACATTTCCCAGGATACTCCTCACTCTTAGTCCCACCTATCTTTCTTTCCTGTTGGCTAACAGTGCTCTATTTATCAACCAATAGGACAAACATATATACACAGAAGGAATTCCCCCATCAGTTGGAGGACTGCTCAAGCCATCCAGTGGATTTGCTTAGAAATGCAAGCAATTTCTGACAAAAGCCACATCCAGATGTAGTTCCATCCAGATTATTCCTAAATGGAACTCTGTGGTTGTCACATCAGGATTTCTGAATATGCCCTCAGCACAGTCTAGTGGATAGTATACACATTTGGGCAACTGGAAGAAACAGGTCAACAGGTACCAATATGATGTTTTAGAACAATGATTCTCAACCTGTGGGTCATGACCCTTTCAGGGTCAAGGACATTTTCACAGGAGTCACATATCAGATATCTTTCATGTCAGTTACATTATGATTCATAACAATAGCAAAATTGCAATTTTGAAGTAGCAATGAAATCATTTTATGGTTGGGGGTCACCATATCATGAGGAACTGTATTAAAAGGTTGCAGTATTAGGAAGGTTGAGAACCATTGTTTTAGAACAGTGGTTATTGGCCCTTCCACTGATAAAGTTGATCTTCTTCATTGAATATATTGTCTATGCTTTGATTTGATAGTGTTTGGTGATTCATATAAAGTTACTGTGATGATATTTTGTTTATGATCTAGTAAAGCTTGCCTGAAAATCTGAGTGCAGATCTAAGCCACTAGTTAGCCACATACCTAGTTAAGACCTAAGCCACTAGTTAGACACACACACACATACACATACACACTAAGCTACTAGTTAGCCACACACCTAAGCCACTACTTAGCCATAAAGGACAGGCAGTGATGGCACACACCTTTAATCCCAGGACTCAGGAGACAGAGGTAGATGGATCTCTGTGAGTTCAAGGCCACCCTGGGCTACATGAGAGTGAATCAGTCTAAAAGAGAAACAGAGCTCACGCCATTGATACCAGCACTTGGGATGACATGCCTTTAACTTAAGGGAGTTGGAGGTTTGGTGGAGACAGGTTGCACTCTGAGGATTTGTGAGACAGAAGCTCCCAGTTTGGTCTGAGGTAGAGGTAAGAGCTAGTGGCTGGCCGCTTAGCTTCTCTGAACTTCAGCTTTAACCCTGTTAAATCTGTCCCTGTTTTTTTTTTTTATTCATGCTACAAGTTATGTTAAAAAAGAAAACCAAAATCAGAATAGTAGGTTAGGTTGGGAAGACAAAGACTTCTAGAACCTGATGCTCATTTGACAACATTTATTGAACAGCTGAAACTCATCAGCCCTAAGGGATGGAAAAACCAACTTTGGTATTTTCAGCAGTGACCATGAGTCATTTCTCATAGTTTCCTTGGAAATAATTTATAAATCCTTAAGGAGGTCAAGAAAAAATTTACTGGATTAAACAGAAACACACACAGTCGCCCAGTGGGTTGATTAAAATGTTAATTGGCATGGCCTGAAAGATGGCTCAGTGTGTAAAACTGCTTGCACCAAGCCTGAATTGGATCCCCAGGATGGTGGAAGAGAACCAGCTCCTCAAAATTGTCCTCTGACTGCCACATAAGTAATATGCATGTGCACATACACTAAATAAATAAGTGAAAAAATGTCTCTAACTTGAAAACATAATGGCCAAGAGAGCACTTGGTATGTACTCAGGGACATCTGTATTACTTATTCTTATAATTTTGACTAAAAAGTATCAGCCTAGATGTCCATCAATGCATAATGGATGAAAAAGATTTAGTGAACCTATAGTGTTATTTTTATTCGTTTGTAAAGAAACATGAAATTATGATATTTAAAAAAATGGGTCACTAAGTTAAGTGAAATGAGCCAGCCAGACTCAGGAAAAAAATGCACATTTTCTCTTGTGTGCAGAGTCTTTATTTCCATTGACACACACACACACAAACACACACACACACACACACATACACACACA